CGCCGCGGTGATCGTTATTTTACGAGTCTTTGCTAAGATTAAAATCAAACGGTTTGGCTTTGACGATGGCTTGATGATCCTCGCCGAGGTACTACCCCTTCCTCTGGCTAGTTTGTGTCTTTGCTAATGTGTCTAGCTTCTGGCGATCGCTTCAACAGTCTTCTTGACCTTGTGCGTGCGACATGGATTTGGCAAGGACCTCACAACCCTGCCACGGATTGATCAGGAATTAGTCTTGAAGTACATTGCCATCCAGGTCCCGCTCGTCACTTTCAGTACTACCTTCGCCCGTTCTGCCTTCATCCTCTACATTCTACCTCTCCTCGGTACAAACAAGATATACCAGGGCTTGCTATGGACGTTCATGATCATTCAGCTCGCTGGTAATATCACCTCAGCAGTGCTTCCCCTGAGTATCTGTCGCAATGTCGCAGCTCTATGGGATCCAGCTGTGGCTCTTTCGACCACCTGCGGTGATTCAAAGGCCATCATCAAGTTCGCTTACTTTTCCAACACATTCAACTCGGCCACCGATCTGTTCTTGGCCGTCTTCCCAGCTATCGTGTTCTGGAACCTGAATCTGAAGCTTCGGATCAAAATCAGTCTGATCGTTTTGCTCAGTCTGGGTATTGTGTAAGTAATTTCCCCTCCGGGTATCGCCAAGGTACTAATGAGTCAGTGCAATGATCGCATCTATCATCAAGACGACCAAACTCAACTCAATTCCCAGCATTACGAATATTGGTGCTTCCGGTGGCATTGAGTTAATCCGCTGGGGATATATCGAAAACACGATCATTATCATCACCTCCTCTATCCCTTGCATCCGGCCCTTGGTCATCTCTTCCGTCCGCAAGATCTCTAGCGGGAAGTTCTCGCGCTCGTACGAGCTCAGTGGTCCTTTCACCGGTCGCAAGACGAACCCAAACGAGACCAACCAGTCGCGACGCACGCGCAAGTTCAAGCCTGATCTGGAGAATGGGAGCGTGGATCACATTTTAAACCAAAGCGCGCATACCAGTACCAGCGTCGGCGGCCACCCAGACTCTCCTACATTTGACGGTACTGGAATTACGAAGCAGGTTGAGATTTCTGTTTTCTCGGACGAGGATCAGCTGCCCCAATCTGTGAGGCAGCTTTGAGGTCGTAAATCGGGTGTTTTCTACATATAATTATTTCTAGACTTGTCACTTAGTGTACGCCGTCACGAATCTATATCCACATATCAATCATTGTTGACTATGTCTAATTAAGAAGGACAATAATGTGTTTTTTGCACTACATGGGCGCTAAAACGATCGTTGATTCAGTCGGGAATTGGTTTACCAAGGTTGACTAGCGTACATATGTGGAGTAGAGACTAGGCCAATCACCATTTCCAATACAGCAATAGTTACCGTTGAGCGCGGGCTGGACCATGTAGACGGAGTAAAAAAACTAACATATTAGCCGAGATTGTGTGGACACCCGGCATTGCCTGGGGAAACCTCGGCGATTGCTTGATGCTAGAGCCTGATTTAGCTCATGGTCACTCAAAGCCCAGGCTCAAGCATGCCCCACAAGCTGTCAGCACTATTGTTGTTGACACAAGCGCCAATACACTTGCCTGGTCAAACCTCAGAGGCGAACTAGCGGGGCCAGGCATCGATGCCTTCCACGACGCTCTCCACATACAATACCCATAGAAAAATTCTGGTGCAAACTCAAAAGCTGATCCAGGTCTGAAACAGTCACCGTCGAGGCCCATATGAAGTTCCAAACTCGGAAGCAGGCCGAGCATTAAGGACGCCCGAATCGATAGTAAAGATGGCATGTACCCACTACAGGGCTATTGATGCAGATAACCTTGGATCAGTTGTATATCTGATCGGGCTTGTCCTGTAATTTGGCGGGCTTCATCCTTCTTGGGATGATTCCCGCGAATGGATCTTGAGTATTTGTCACCTTGCTTGCTCAAGCTCGATCATATTTAGCTGTAGACATGCGCTTAGATCACCGGCCAAGGTTTATCTGTAAAACATATTATATCGAAGCCTCCTTCGATTAATACTGTCTACCACCCAAAACCTTGATGTAAGCCTATTGTTCGTATTCGTGGCGTTGCCAAAAAATGGTTCAAATGGAAAAGCATAAAGGGGAGTACGGCTTCAACAGGTATTTTGTGCGGAATGGTACTAGGGGGTATTAGGAGTATGTGCTTTTTCACGGCCCTGCTGATGATTTACACGGTAAAATCCGTGACTGCTACACTGCTACTCTATGTTCACCACACTTAACATGAGATCTAGGGGTTCAACCTGAGAAATCTTCAAGTTGCGGAGAAGTGTATGAATGAACTATCACGTCTAGCTGTTATAATTAATGGAAGCGATACGCAGCTCGTTGATCAAGTTATAATATCATTCGTTTAGTAACGCTGTGCTCTCACTGGACTTTTTACGCAATTTGGGTGAGGTGCTTCGAGGTCCGAAACTGACAGCATTTGACAGAATCGACTTCGGAATCTAAAGTACATCGTGCCCGCCACTGGTTATGGAATCATTAGCACTTATTATTATATTCTGCGCTGCTCAAACAGTAGTTGGTTAGTCCGTGTAATATCCTGCACAAGGAGAGGTTTGGAATGCCCTGACCACCCAGGTTTTATATATCTTCTCATTGGGACGAAGTAACCTAAATCTCAGCACGGCCTTCACACAAGTCTAGGGTAGCTATAGCTGGGAGTATACAAGAATTTTGATCCGAGGGATGAGGTAGCTAAGTCCAGTAAATAGTAGTAGAATGCATTCTTCTCAGATATATATAATTTCCCAGGGATCGATCACTAGATATCTATTTCAAGTGGTATTTCAGTTTCTGCTAAAGGGGCGCGGTAATGCTTCAAATAAGTCAAATTTACAACCAGCATATTTAGCAGAGTAATAAATAGGAACAAATGTGTTCTCCAAGCCATCCCAATACTGTGATGCATTTCCCCGAGGATGCAGTGACCCAAGGCAGCCTGACCTATTCGGGGCAGACCGGGCAAAACAAGCGAGGCTGAGCATACGCTCTTATCAAATTCTTCAAGACATACCAGTTGCATGAAATAAGCGATATGGAAATACTTAAAAAACATAATCTAGCTGAATGGAAAATACTCGGAATGTGGTATATGTGGACATCATTCATAAGAATCGAGCTATATATAAGTGGCTCGCGATCACCACCTCTTATTCAACCTCTAAAGTAAAATAGTGCCGATGATCTCAAAAAAGAGGCATCCTAGCCGTATTCTCATAGTCGACATTATCTGCCGCAGATTCAATACGCTCGGTACAAGTACCAAAAATGCGATCCCACAGCCTAGTCTGCTTACCATAATTATGGCTCTTACGCCATCCTTTCCGGTGATGCAAGTCATGGTCCTCAATAACAATCTCGGAATCGAACATCTGCAGTAGCCAGCTAAGCGTCGACGGTACAGTGAGATGCATGCGCAATCCACTATGCCCGAAGACTTCGGCAAAAGCCACGTACTCGTGGCAGATCCACCATTCATAGAAGCCCATCGGTAGACCCATTAGTTTCAGACTGAAATAGGTCATCATCGGTACGCCGACCATATCGAAGAACTCCTGTTCGTGGTCGGCGTATGCCGCCAGTAGAGGGTTAGGGTGTTTGGTCAGGTGGTGCGTGCGGTGGAACTTCCAGAGGAAGCTCACGTCGTGCATCAGGCGGTGGTACCAATAGAACCAGAAGTCGAGGACAATGCCGTATAGACCGATTTCCAGGGGAAGCCACGCCCACGACATTTCGGAGGGGCGTTGGCTGGCGTTGTAGGAGAGGAAGATTGAGAGGATCAGGCGGGACCCGGTGGTTTTGTAGAGCGATGTTACTACTTTAGCCACGCCGACGTCTGGAACGCCATCTCGTTCGTGTTTGTCCCCGTCTAGAAAGCCGTATTTGTGGCCTAGGCGGCGGAGGATATGCACTTGGTAGATGACTGTGGCGTTGAAAGCGAAGAAGTAGAAGTTGAAGGCTGTGATCGGGCCGATGGTGCGGCCAGTGTAGGCCATGTATGTCTCGTGAAGGAGGAGTGGGAGTGCAGAGTAGAAGAGTACCCAGCGTTGTAGAGACCACTGAGGCATAAAGGGAATTTTCTCTTCTTTGCTGTGCACTGGCACTTCCTTGTTGAGCTCCTGAGGATGGGCGTTGAGCAGATCCAGCAGCCAGTGGTTTATGTTCCACTCACTGCGAGGTGCAGTTCGCCATGTGGATTTCATAGAATCTTTGGATGATGGTTTGGAATCCATAATGGGCGGTTTGGGTGGATTTACGGCCTCTACTGGTGGCGCGGATCTGGTTTATATCATTTTGCGAAGGCATGACTCATGTAAAATGAGAACCATGATGTGAAGTCTTTCCTGTGTGGAGCAGTTTACCCCAACAAAACCTACACATCAAATGAACAGGAGATCGTGGATGGTCCATGCCAAACGGGCGACGATCGGCGCCTACCACATGAAGTTCTCCGCAGAGGGAGGCCTCGGAGTCGGCTAATCCCTTGAGGGGCATTCAATGGCCATTTTTGAGCATGTTGGAACTAAAAAGGGAACCAGTGCGATCCGATGTGGTCGAACTGATGTCCAATAATGATGGCAAGATGGATCTGAGAATGGTGAATTCACAGCGTGCGTCCAGCTAAGCCTCGGCATCAGACCATTTGATAGTGGAGCACCGATCAGCTGGCGTTACGGAAAGACTGAACATTCCATGAATATTTTATGAATATTCCGGGGTAAATACGGAGTAAGAGGAGAGATGCAGCAAGTGAGGAAGTGGCTGTTCCTGCATGTTGGCCAGGTCACGTGTTGATGCGTGGGTACATGCCTTGTCTATGAGGCCTCTCTGCCAAGGATCATTGCCTATACGGGATATGATGGCTATATTTACAGAAGGCCACAGACTATCCACAAAACTAAATATTGAACACATTTTCTTAACTGTCTCAACTAGGTCTAAGGGCTAGCCGCGACCGGCGCAGCAGCCTCGGGTTCAGCCGTTTCAGCCGATACTGGGGCGTCAACTCTCAGCTTGGCCCTCTCGAAGCTCTTCATGGGGTAGTATCCCCAACGCTTGAACATGACATTATCCTCATCCCAGCCGTTACAGTCAGTGGTCAGCATCTTCTCGCCGGTGAAGACGGCATTCGCACCGGCCTGGAAACAGGCAATCTGCTGCTCCTCGGTGAGAGCGACGCGACCGGCAGCCAGACGAACAATAGTGGCGGGCATCACGATACGGGCGGTTGCGACGGTTCGGAGCAGACGGTCAAAGGGGATCATCTTGCGGTCGCCGAGAGGAGTTCCAGGGATGGGGACAAGAGCGTTGACGGGGAAGGATTCGGGGTGCGCAGGGAGGCTGGAGACGGTGTGCAGGAGACCAATGCGGTCGGAGTCAGCCTCGCCCAGACCGAGGATCCCACCTGAGCAGACGTTGATACCGGCATCACGGACGTGCGAGAGCGTCTTTAGGCGCTCATCGTAAGAGCGGGTGGTGATAACGGATGGGTAGAATTCACGCGAGGTGTCGAGGTTGTGGTTGTATGCGGTGAGGCCGGCCTCCTTCAGCTCCTTGGCCTGATGCTCGTCGATCATGCCCAAGGTGACGCAGACCTCCATGTTCATGTCCCGGATGCCGGTGATCATCTGCTTCACATTCTTGAGACTGGTTTTGCGGCCGCGCATGTCTCGCCAGGCAGCCCCCATACAGAAACGGGTACTGCCATTGGCCTTGGCGTTTCGTGCCTTGGTCAGAACCTCGTCAACGGGGCTCATCTTGGTGGCCTTGAGGCCAGTGTTGTGCCGCGAAGACTGGGCACAGTAGGAGCAATCCTCACTGCAGCCACCAGTCTTGATGTTCATCAAAGTGCACATCTGGATGGCGGAAGGGTCATGGAAGCGACGGTGAACGGCAGCCTGTAGGGGTCAGTTCATCCTCAAGCCAATGCTCTAATTGACTTACGGCCGCGTATGTGAGTTGGTTCAATGGCGTCTCATAGATCTGCTTGACTTCATCTCGAGTCCAAGTGGTGCGTGGGGCGGTTGCTCCCGTCGCATCAGTCAATGTGAGAGGGATCTGACTCTGACTGGACAACACACTCGACCCCTGCACAGTCCCGTAGGACCGGAGGAATGACCGAGGCAATGAACGGATAGGGAAAGACATTGTGTGGTGTAAGAGGAAGAGAGAGAGAGTGTGTATATGAGGGGTACGGAGGAATAGTAGAGTGATTCACATTCACACGGTGTCACTGTGGGGAAAGGATCACCCAGGCTCAACCTTCACTTCACACCGGGGGATGTAGGACGTTGGGAGGCCCAACACTGCTACTCAACTTGTTTTCCGAGGGTAACCGGTAAAAGGATGCTGATCCCGTACTCCGTTCCTATACTTCCCATGCTTCTCTTCCCATATCTACTATGTTCCTTAATTGCTCTCCCTACCTTTTCTGTTTTCGTCATGTCTAGATCCACTATATCTGTCTCCGCCAATCACATCTCGCATATTAGCCAATCTCGCCGGGGTCGATCGGACCAGAGGAAAAAGCGAAAAAAGGTGAGACAAGTTCCTCAACATTAAGGTAATTGATAACTTTATAACTCTATAACGCTAAACATAAGGTAACTCCCCTTAACCTAGTAGAAATCCCAAAACTATGCAACATACGATCATGCTAGTCCGAACATCGAACTTACTTGGAAAATCCCCACCAATAACAATACACAGAGGGGCATGAACCTCTCCAAAAGGACCAGTTCGAATTTAAAACGGACTATTGATCCATTCGAGCTGTTCTGTCTTGGTTGTGATTTTCCAATTTGAACTCGAAGTCCACAAAAGGCGCCAAATTGCATGAACAGGCCAAATACACAGGAGAACAAGGTAATAGGCGAGTGCACCGTTGAATTGTTGTCTGAAAGACCATGGTGTGAAGAATGGGCCACATGGCTGGAAGTATTGGACGTTGATATTTCTTCAATTGACTCATTCGTGGATACACTGCGTGATTGATCGGCCTCTATGCTCCGGTATCGCTCCACCGTCGCATCCTCTCGGATTTCGAGGACTGAACTGTGGATCGTGATCTCCTCTGACTCGACAGCGTCATCAATGGCGTATGGAAGAATGGGATAATGAATAGGGTCACTCGATAAGCAGTCGGGTTGTTTCTCCAAGGGGCATAGGGGTTGTCTGCACGCATTTCGGTTCCTTGGATCATTTCTGAACTCGAAAATCTTCTGGTTCCATTTCTCGACGTTCAATTTGCGCTGTCCTTCATGACGGCTATGAATGAGCAGCTCGCAGAGCTTCTTCGTGTGACATTCAACCGCCTGGTCATCTAAATCCGAACACGACATGCATTCGCGCAGCAGATACCAAGCTTTTTCTTGATTTCTCTCGGAAATCACACTGCCACACTGGAGTTTTCCACGGGACTTTTTGGTTTTAGCTAGGCAGTATTGCTTGCCATTCCCAGGAGGGACAATCTTAAGATCGAGGATGCCCTCCACGGTGTAGATCGCTGCGCACGGCATTGTCGGGAAGAGGTCAAGGATAAGCAGAGCGAGAAATTACAGCGTTGTCTGTCCGTAGGCCGTTTGCCGGGGATTGTTTAAGTCGTGTTCAATCCTTTCGCTTGTGGCTTTCTCCTACATTATAATACTAGAAGTCATCCAGGGCCACGATATGTCATTATCTACAGCTTCTTAAGCACAGCCATCAGCCATTTCCTAACAAGCGGCTGCGCCACAGCGAAACGCATCGCCACAGGCAGCAGTTTTCACCAGCAGGTCGCAGGAGTCGAACCCTTGCTTAGTTTGAAGGATCGCGCTTGAGATATTACAGAGCATCCAGGTAAGGCAGACATGGATTAGGCAGATACTAATCCTGGGGCTGAGCTGATTCATGGAATATGGAATTGACAGTCCAACGGGGGCCTGGTTTTATTGCATTTCAGCTCGGTTGTTGCGGTTGCTTCCCCCACTCTATCTCCTCCAAATGGATTTCTCCGTAAGAGCTGGAACCATTCGAAGCGGGGGAAGAATTGACAGCTATAAAACACTCTTCAAATGTAACATCCTGCTTGGTATGTTTCACGCTGATGTCGAGAGATAACAAAATCGGAGCAAATACCCCAGCAGGAAAACAGGATGCAATGAGTTACAGAATTAAGGCCATTCGAACAGATGATCCATCTCCCACCCCATCTCTAGTGGTGTCAGCCTCGAATCTGCGAGATTTCAAGATGATCTCCGACCAGGAACCCCTGAGCATGGCCCTGGTTCGCATGGAAAAATTAATTGCTGGGCTCCTCTAAGGTGTGCATACGAACAATGAATGAAATCAGGGACAGTTCTGCCCCTACATCTTAAGCTGTCCAGATACCAGACCAGTGCTACCTCTATACCGTGGCTTATTATCCCCATCAGACTTCTATTCATAGCGTACCAGTCAGAAGTTTGGAGATGAGGTGAACAAGACAGGCATCGGCTATGAAAGCGACCGAGGTGAAATGCATTCCCCGCATTTCGAGACCGCTAAAATTGCTGAGGAAGACAAAACGCAAGGTGTCTCTGCGTCGCTTTGCCGAGGGCCCGGCATTTGTTCTTGTACCTCCTCTTTATTTACTTTGCAATTTGTTTCTTCTTTCTAATTACTTGAATATCGCATATCGGACACTGTGGTTCAATTGTTGTGCGTCGTGGTTCGGCCATACCTCGGTAACTTTTATAACGCGACCATAAGGCCTGTCTCAGCCCAAAAATGGATTTAGGTATGTCTATCAATTGTGTTGATCATATCCATATGACTAGAACGTGGACTGACCGAGTACAGGAACTGCTGCCGCTGCCTTGCTTGGTGGTGCTACTGTCGCCAGCTATCTAAACGCCAAATTTCACATCAAGAAAGACGTGTCAAGCATACTCACAGCGAAGAAAGCAGAACGCGAATATGCTCGGGCTGGTAGGAAACTATCCACATCAATAGCCAATGCAAGCTGACCAGTATGCAGTCAGCCATAGCCGTGGGAATCCGTGGTTTGTCCTGTTGGAGACTGTGAAGCGCCACCCCGACATGACCTGCCTTTGGACTCGGGAGAGATCATACACATATCAGGAAGTGCAAGATCAGGCCTGCCAATATGCCCACTTTTTCTTATCGCAGGGCGTGAAGAAGGGCGAGCTTGTGGCTGTCTATCTTCAGAACAGTGCAGAGTTTATGGCGGTGTGGGTGGCCCTCTGGAGCATTGGCTGTGCCCCTGCTGCTATCAATTACAATCTTTCTGGTGATGCGCTCTTGCACTGCTTGAAGATCAGTGGCTCGAAGCTTCTCTTAGTCGACGAAGACTCCGGCTGTCGGGCGCGCGTAGGGGAATCTCTGGATGCCATCACTGACCTCGGAATGAAACCCATGACGCTTGATGGCTCCCTCAAGGCGCAAATTAGCACTTTCTCGACATCTCCGCCGCCAAAGGAGCTGGCGAAGCATATCAAGGGCGAGTTCCCAGCCATTCTGATCTATACTTCGGGAACCACTGGGTTGCCCAAGGGCTGCGCATTCACCATGGCTCGACTCTACACTACTCTCTTCATACGCCAGGGGATGATGGGGGACAAACCTGGCCCGGACGGTGATCGATGGTACAGTTGCATGCCTTTATACCACGGTACTGGTGCGATTTCACTGGCCTGCTGTTTGGTCATGGGAGTCAGCATCGCCATCGGTCCCAAGTTCAGTGTTCGCAACTTCTGGAATGATATTCGCGACTCTGAATCTACTATTTTTGTCTACGTCGGCGAGACAGCTCGCTATCTGCTTGCTCCGCCGCCCTCACCCCAAGACAAAAACCACAAGGTCCGGTGCATGTACGGTAACGGCCTTCGCCCAGACGTTTGGGAACAATTCCGTGACCGATTTGGCGTTCCAGATGTAGGAGAGTTCTTCAACAGCAGCGAGGGAATCTTCGGTCTCTTCAACTACAACCGCGGTCCATTCACGGCTGGCAGTGTTGGCCACCATGGGCTGATCATGCGTGGGGTAATGCATAATGTCTACGTTCCGGTGGCAATTGACCCGGAAACTGGCGACATCCTTCGGGATTCAAAGACAGGCTTTGCAGTTCGCTCGCCTTATGAGCAGGGCGGAGAGATTCTCGTCAATATCCCCGGCGAAGAAGTTTTCCAGGGATACTGGCGCAATACTGAAGCGACCAATAAGAAATTCCTGCGTGATGTCTTCAAGAAGGGAGATCTGTACTACCGCTCCGGTGATGCTCTGCGCCGACTTAGTGACGGTCGTTGGTACTTCCTCGACCGACTGGGCGATACTTTCCGTTGGAAGAGTGAAAATGTGTAAGTATTAGATCCACTAGCATTACAAGTCAGGACTGACCACTCTACCTAACAGCGCTACTGCCGAAGTCTCCGAGGTCATCGGTCGGTTCCCTGGCGTGACCGAGGCCAACGTGTACGGTGTCCGGCTCCCAAATCACGAAGGACGAGCCGGTTGTGCAGCGATCCAGATTAGCCCAGAGGCCCGTCAGACATTTGACTTCACAGCACTTGCTCGCTTTGCCCGCTCTAAGCTTCCCCGATATGCTGTTCCGCTTTTCCTGCGTGTTGTCGAAAATCCCACTCATATCCACAACCATAAACAGAACAAGGTACCTCTCCGCGACGAGGGTGTAGATCCTGCGCTCCTTGGTACAAAGGCACCAGCAGGGAAGGATGATCATTTCCTTTGGATTGCCCCTGGTGAAGACAGCTATTCGCCCTATGGACAGAAGGAGTGGAATCAATTGTCAGACGGGAGTGCTCGGTTGTAATTGATGTGCATTTACTCGATTTATAACGCCGAGCCTTCAGTTGAGATATACGTTCCAAGAAGCATTCCACCACTAGTGCTGAAATATGCATTTCATTTTTCCGCCTTGCACTCTTCTCTCGGAAATAGCAAATATTACGGATAGAGGAGATTTTCCAGTACAGGGTTATTGTGTTTATACCTATGACATTCACCAATTAAATTCGCTTTGAATGTAGAAACATCCTCAATTATATCACAAAGGCTTCAAGATATATGATAACTCAACACTGAAGCTAGTAAAGAGAAAGGGCAAGTATAGCCACGCCAAATGCCCACAAGCTCTTCAAACCTGATCTTGATCCAGTGTTAGAAACCACGAAAGTTTCAGTGGGCTTGGACGCAGTAGTGGTATAAACAGACGAAGTAGTAGTTTTACGCTTAGTTGTCATGGTCGATGTCGGTGATGAGTGGGAAGTATGACTCCACTCAGTAGCGGTGGGAGTGATAAGAACGAGGTTAACAGTGGTTGAGGAAGAACCCGTAACTGTGCTGAATCCAACCTGCGGGACAGTAACTGTGTGAGAAGACCAGGTGATAGTAGTACACGGGGTGTGAGGAGCTCGCGTGACCGCAGTGACGTTCTCGACAGGTGTAGTGGTAATACTAGCAACCTGAGAGGGGTTGCTGGTCTTGGTAGCTGGACCATGAGGAGTGCTAGTGGGGACGATATCGACAATAGCTGGGTTCTTGGGTACATATGATGCACAAATACCGGCGAAGTAAGAAAGAGCCGACTGGATCTCCTGGTCTGATTTACCCCAGGCTTGAATGCAGGAAGTGACCTTGTCTGTAAACTCGGAAGATGGACAGAAGCAGGCCGCATCGCTGTTAGAGTCGCACTTAGGAATCGAGAGCCAAGTGTTCATACACTTGGGGACCAAGTTAGGGCATGGGGCGTGTGTGCTGGGTGAGGTAGGGATTGGTTCCGAAGAAGTGACAGCAGGAGATGGCTCGCCAGTTTTGGATGTGACCCGGGGGGGAAGATTCGGGACCGAAACGTGAGGGCTCTCATGAGAGATTCCAGTTGAAGTTGTTTCCCAGCCAAGTGAGTGCAGATGTCCAGTTTCAGTGGATTGATAAGGGCAGACAGTGGTCGATAGTACATATGTCGAAGTTACCACCACAGTAGAATGTGCAGGGCACTGGGTAACAGTTGGTGCACAGCTGGTAACCAAAAATTTGGCGGTGGTCCACGCTGTGGAAGTGGTCACCTGGGGCGTCCTGGTAGGGAAAGAGATATCCGGTGCGCTGGACGTGGGCATATACGAAGACACAGGGTTAGTAGTCGAGCTCGAGGTAGACTCCGGGTAGGACTGAGATTGACTGGCGACTGAGTGAGGGGGCTTTTCTCCAGCAGAACAGTCGAAATCGATTTGGTGAAGGTCTAGTTCACACTCGCCGAACTTGCTCTGCTCAGGAAGTTTAAACTCGACCGAAACCGCGCCACCACACTGGTCATTCTCGACATCGACTCCCTCGGGCGAGCTGCTAACTACCTGGTGACAAGAGTGACCTTTGGGTGTCTTGTAGGTGAGAATGACATCGGTTTGTCGAGAAGTTGAAAGGTGAAAGTTCCGAACAGAGAAAGGAGCATCGTCAGCATCCACCTTGAGTGTCCAGTCGTCGTGTCTAGAAAGTGTTCCTCCAATACAGTCCCCCTTTTGACAATTAGTATCGACTTATTTGACATTAATCGCCTGAACTCACTCCTGTGGATCCCCCGCAGTCATTCTTAGGGTTAAATCCAATGAAGTCGAAGCCGTCATATCCCCAGTCATCATCGTCTAACAGCTCAGACCAGTCAAAGCCAGTCTCTTGGACATTCGAACACTGATTGTCAGTGTTTTCCGGGCTGGTGAAGCAGGTGTCGGTACCCCACCACTGATATATGATTAGATTTCATGCTTCAACTTCTTTGGAGGAAAACTCACCAGGCCCGCTGGGTGGGCGAGTGTAGCGACACCAAAAAGCGAAAGGAAAGCAACCGTCTTCATATTGGAAGACGTCGGAAATGGAGTAGGTTAAATTGCGGGGGTTAACGACAGGCAGCAATTAACCACGCTGGAACTAATGAGCGTTTGTCTGGCGAAAAGACGAAAAGGCGAGGCGAAGCGAGAGTTGTCGACTGAATGTGATAGCGAACAACCAAGATCGGGAAAGTGGAAGCTTTTAAGCTTCACCAAGGTGAGGACCAAATAGAGCTGAGCTATACAGAAGAGCATCCATGTACCTCTGTTTACTATCAACAAACAACATAGAATGCGCCATCAGAGTGATGGTTGCTGTGCTGATGCTAAAAGGCCCTCTCAGGCCAATCACCAGACACTATTTTAACTGTCCGTTTCGTGCATCTGGTTCCTCAAAGCGAGGATCTAGGAATGCGGCGTTTTGCAGGTGAACAGAAAAGTCAAAAGATCAATAGGCAGCATGAGAAAGGTACACTCGTGTAATTGTTTCCTCAGAAAGAGATTCCATGTAGCTGTAATAGTTCAAGCTTAAGATCGACTATAAAGAATAAATTTAGCTTAAATAACAAGAGATATATTGAGATCATGGGGTTGGCATCATCCCCGGTCTACAAAGCCCATTTAGACATTAAACTGCATCCCAGACCATTCCATCTATTAAGTGATAGAAATGCCAGCGGTTGAGGTCTTTTGTTTATTTCCTAGGGCCTAAACAAAACAAGCACCATATCCAATAACAAGCCAGGACCTTTGGCCGGACTCCGTAAGGCTTGATTTCGAGGTTGCGACCTAACCCTTGCTTCATCCCAGGAAAAGAGGCAAAAGTAGACGACGGAGATCTAGACTGGAAACTGGACCTCCGAACTATGTTCCGCTGCATTCCAATCTTGACCCTTGCAATTTCCTCTATTTGTTCTAATATCCTGCGATGCCTTGTGTCTTTAGGCTCAAAATTGTACTCCAGTTAACTAATTTCAGGCCGCCGTGACCCCCAAGTGGACGCGTATAGGAGTGATAAAGTATGTGATTTTATCTGGATTATCGTCTATCTCTATGTCTTGTTTTTCTCGTAAATCACTCCCTCGTGACGCATTCGTAGAAAACAACGTGAACATCAAACAAGATACAAATATCTAGTAAATCTTTTTCGCCAATAAAACGCTCCAAACCGTCAATTAATCAACGTACTTGGGAAGCGTCTTCATGATGCCGTCCCGCGCAATTTCCTCCATAGCCGTGGTGATTGTCTCAATGAACCGCTTGTCGCTGCGCAAGTCGTCACCGAACAGGTTCTTAATACTGAGCAGCTCGGAGGGGTTAGTTCCTCCAGCGGCAGCCTTAGCCTGGAGCTCCTCGCGCATAGGGTCGTCGATTTGGAACTTTTGGCCGTTGTCATCGACACCGTGGAGGTAACGGAACCAAGCGGCTGCGACGAAGCACAGGCGGCGGAATGGGCCAGACACCCAGATGGCCTCGGCAATGGACGGCATAATGAACTGTGGGATCTTGCCAGAAGCGTTGAGGGCCACACGAGGTAGCTGGTCCATGATAGTTGGGTTGGAGAAGCGCTCGATGAGCGTGTTACAATACTCATCAATGTTAACGCCCGGGATGTCGGGTAGCAGCGGCTTCACCTCGTCCTGCATCATCTGCCATACAAACTTCCGGAAGACCGGGTGCTCCATGACCTCATGGACGTATTTGAAGCCGGCCATCTGGCCTGGGTACCCAATCGCCGAGTGGCTGCCATTGAGTAGGCGTAGCTTGTGCTTCTCGAACTGCTCGACATCGTGGACATTATTGACAAGCTGAACACCGACCTTCTCAAATGGTGGGCGGCCATCGCAGAATCGGTCCTCGATCACCCACTGCATGAAGGGTTCTGTGACAACGGGCCAGGAGTCCTCAATACCAAAGTTTTCTGCGAGTGACTTCTTATCGGCGGGCGAGGTCTGAGGTGTGATACGGTCGACCATTGCATTGGGGAAGTGGCCTTCCTCAGAAATCCACTTGGCAAGCTCAGGGTTGCGCAGGCGGGCAAACGATTCGAGCATGTGCCGTGTGATAGCGCCATTCTTCTGCATGTTATCACACGACATGACGGTGAAGGGCTTGAGGCCTTGCTGGTGACGGCGTGCGAGGGCAGCGTAAAGGAAGCCGAAAGTGGTACGAGGTGCCTTATCGTTGGCTGGGTTGAGATCGAACTGAATGTCGGCGTTCTCACTTTGAAGCTCATGGGTGTTCTCATTGTAGTAGTAGCCGCTCTCAGTGATGGTGAGCGACACAATGTGTGTATCAGGGTGGGCCATCTTGGCGATCACAGCCTCGCGGTCCTCGGGTGCAAAGAGGTAGGAGTTGATGCTGCCAACAACGTTGGCGGCGCTTCCTTTGGCCGAGCGCTCAATAACAGTGTAGAGGTGGTCCTGCGAGCCCAAGGCATCGCGCATAGCGACGTCGAAGGGCGTCAAGCCGACACCACAGATCGCATAGTCCGTCACACCATGGTTTTGCATTAACTCGTGAACATAGACAGCCAGGTGAGCTCGGTGGAAGCCACCAATGCCGATATGAACGATTCCCTCCTTGACAGCATTGCCGCGGGGATAGGTTGGGACCTTCACCTGGTCGCCTGCGGTGGAAATCTGTGAAAGGTTGGCACTGTTAAGCTTGAGGGGAGCCATTGTGATGAAAGAAAAAAAAGGGATGTAAGGAATGAATTGAGCAGAGGTAGCCAGTTTTGACCGCTCATCCGGAAACTGGTCAGCGAGGCGTATTACATCATGTGGGGACCTGGGGCGAACCTCAAAGGCCAATGAGGCCGCTGAAGGGCGATGGAGTTGGCGAAATGAAGCTGGTGATTCGATCGCTTTCGTCTGTCACGTGGTTTCCGTCCGTTTCCAGGAAGGTCGAGGCCGATAACGGCCTTTCTATACCGTGATTGTTTGAAGGTGGGCCCCGAGATACTGGAGATATTATAGTTAAATATACAAAGTAAGAGATCTGGAAAGGATTAGGCAATGGAAAATTAGAGAGGGTCAGTTGACCAAGTGGGGAGTTGACAGGTCAGGTTATACAGTTACATGTATATGCACGCCTAAATTAACTTGTTTACAGGTAGATCAGCCACATTCGGCCAGATCCTAAAATAGACTGTAGGGCTGGTTTATTCTCATATATTGATTGGACTTTTGCCAGGTATCCAGTCTATGTCAACAAGCAGTGGTCTAACCAACAAAACAGCATAAATAAAAGAAAACATCTCGCTTTGCATCGAATTCATCAATTGAACCATCAGTGGTCAATAAGCATCAGGTTGCACCAGGCTACCAGGACGACATTTATTTCTTGAGCAGGCCCAGGAGGTTGATGCTCTTGGGGCGCTCAATGGGCATGCCTAGAGCGCGATCCCAAATCAGCTGGACAAGGGGACCAAGGGCACGACTGACACCGAAGGTAACGGTGTAGTACAGAGGCTGCTGGAAGCCATAATGGTAGAAGAGAACACCACTGGCGGCGTCAACATTAGGGTGAGGGTTCTTGGTCTGCAGATCGTTAGTTCATGTGTCTAGATAATCCAGGCATCAACATACCTTGCCGTGCTCGGTGAGTACACCTGGAGCAATCTCCGAGTTTTTCTTGACCAGCTGGAACACCGGGTTGGCCAAGACATCAGGGCGGGTGGCAGCAAAATCCATCAAAGCTTCAAAACGGGGGTCGGGCTTGCGCAGGACACCGTGACCATAGCCAGGAACCACACGGCCCGACTTGAGGGTGTCCCAGAGGTAGGTGCGAACATCCTCGTCGCTGAATTTGGTGCCAATCTTGTCCTGCATAGCCATGACCCAACGGAGGACCTCCTGGGCAGCCAGACCGTGGAGTGGGCCGGCGAGACCCAAAAGCCCAGCGCTGTAGCTGAGGAAAGGGTCGCTGAGAGCACTTCCGACTAAGTGAGTAGCATGGGCAGACACGTTACCACCCTCGTGGTCACCATGCAGGGCTAGATACAGACGCAGCAGGTCGTGGAAGTCCTCGTTCTGCGAGCCACCCTTGCCCAGCAGCTCCGCAAAATTGTATGACCAATCCTGAGCGGCATCAAGCTTTTGCGTGCCGACCGCATCAATTTCGTTCGGGCGGAAAACGAGTGCAGCCACTCGGGGGATCTTAGCGAGCAGGGAGATGCTGTCATCAAATGTGGGCTCCCAGTACTCAGCCTTGTTAATGCCCTTCTCGTAGGCCTTGGCAAACTTGGACTCGGTGTTCAAAGCGGCTACGGCAATTGACAGCTGGGTCATAGGGTGCATAGAAGAAGGGAAAGACTTGATCAGGTCAAGAATGTGCGGCGGCAGCTCCGACTTCTCAGCCAGCTCTCGCGAAAAGGCGCGAACTTGGCCCGTGGAGGGCACTTGACCGGTCAACAGCAGCCAGAACATGGCCTCGGGGAGCATCTCTGTGCCTGTGGTGCCCTTGGGCAACTCCTTCTGGCAGTCCTTGATGGTCTTGCCGTGGAAGCGGATTCCCTCGTCGGGGTCCAGGACAGAGCCTTCCCATAACATGGCCTTGAGACCACGCATGCCACCAATGACATTGCCGATCTTGACATCCCCGATAGCCTCGTCACTCTGGGCCTTCACCTTCTGGAGAAGCTCTCGCTTCGCCGGGATGACGTCTTTCAGAGTGGTTTTCAGATCGGGTTCAGTGGCATATTGACGGGAAAAGATGGGCCGTGTCGCCTAGAATAAATTAGAGGCAGTCCCTCGCAGTGGCCTCTGGACTCACCTGGGCGAATTTGGAAGCGTGGCGGGTGGATCTCCAGAGGGCCATTGTGTTGATGGGTCCGGGGTAGTTTTGCGGGGGCGGGAGAGAACGCGGGGAGGGATGAAGCTGAAAAGAACACAGCAATTGAGGTATCGCGAGATTGAAGGAAGAAGGGGAGTAAAATAGCCGAACTTATGCAGCGATCGGCCGATATGCGTCGGTTGAACGCGGGGACAGGGGGGAGAGGGGGCGGGTTGCAGTCTACCGAGGCCCATGGCGGTTGCATGCGGCATCGGCTGTGGAAGCTGACCGGCTTGGGACTCTGTCTATACTTTATGCTTATATCTGTAGCTGCTATGAGCAATAGTAAACTAATATTACCTCCTCTACTCAACTATATAATCAGAGTCAGGTAGTATTGAAATTTAGCGCATTCATAGGTGTAGGACTGGATAGTACTTATGAGGCGGTTTGGGAGTTCAATCCCATGTAGATCGTTAGGATCTATGCCAGTGCTTCTCTCTTTAGTATTGACAACGCTCACTCAGCATATGTAGATGGAGACAAATCTAAACAGAGAGTTAATCAAACGTTCCGGATCGAATAGCGGTGGAGGGGATATATATTCCAGATCAAGTTGGACCATACGTGTTGGAGCCGACGTGAAGGTAGAAGCAAAAACAGCTACGAATGGCCAGATCAGAACGCCAGAAATGACATTGTAATTCTGTGCAGGTGTAATTGATCTTCTATACAGGAATTGGCGTACATCGACATGTGGGTGCCGCAGGTCCGAGACAGAAGCTGAGGCACCAAGGCTGCAGGGCTGTAAGGCACAAAAACAAGGCACCGTTATCGACACCTAACGTATTCGGTAAGCGAGTCGCCATTGTAAGCGAGCCGCCACCCTGCCTCTACCTATTAATTTTAAATGCATTTATCTCAACCAAAACGCCATTAAATTCAATAAATTAAACACGAGGTCTATTAGGACAGGCATTTCTCTTATGGCCTAGGTTTCCACATAACCCACACTTCGGTAAGGCCCTCGTACGCGGCTGTAAAAGTGCCGGAGGCGGTCTTGGTTGACGGGGTGTTGGTGCTTCAATTACTGGTTCTTCCACCTGAATAAGCTCGATAGCTTCTGAAACTGATAGGCCCTCTTCTAGAGGTATCTGCCTTGTAGACCGAGTCCGTTTTCGCTTCTTCGTCTCGTTCGCGGCCCGTAATTCGCTTACTTCTTTCTCGAGCAAAGCTGCCGATTGCATCGTAACTTGGCAGGCCTTTAAAACCTGATCTATCGCGGAGTTAAGCGGGCTCGGTGGGCTTTTTGAGCGCTGTTTTAGCAAAGCTTTAATTGACGAAGCTTGTTTTTGTAATTGGACGTAGTTCGACGGCGTTTTTGGCTCCCACTCGCTTCCTCGGCTCGAGGGGGGTGTCGGGGTTCGAAGGCAAATATCGAGCTTCGAGATCACTTGATCGGGATTGTAAGGTATTAAACCGGCGGCGGCGAAGCTATTCTTGATAGTCTCCGATTTAAATGCCTCGATTCGCGCAGACGGGTAGACTTCGAGGAAGTCTAATTTATCGATATGGTTGATTCTAGCCCGCATTTTTGACTCGATAAGCCGACTATACGCGCGCTTTAACACCGCGAAACAGCTAATATCGAGAGGCTGTAAAAGGTGAGACGAGTGCGGAGGCATACAAATTGCGATAATATTGTTCTCTTCGCAAATTTGATCGAACTCCGCCGTTAAATGACTTCCGTGGCCGTTAAGTATCAAAAGTCTATACTTCCCCTTCGTACGCGAAGAAGTAGACGGAATAAAGAGCTTTTTAAGCCACCGAAGACCAATTTCATCAGAGGTCCATCCATTCGGACTAACCTCGAAGCGCCAATCCCCCGGGAGGCCGTCGAACCAAGATTCGATATAGACTTTGCCCTTAAAGATCACGCACGGAGGAAGCGCCCACCCCGAAGCATTTATACACTCAATTGTAGTCACCCACGTACGATTTCCAGGTTGTAAAAGTGGTCGTCGACCGTAGTATTCAGCCCTTGTCACGACTTTTGCGGTCGCGATTAAGCCCATTGCAAACCCGGTCTCGTCGAAGTTATAGATATCGTCGGGATCGATGCCGTATTGAAGTATCGTTTTTTGGACTAGATTAAACCATTCATAAATGATTTTTAGGTCTTCACACTTCGCGCGCTCGTAATTATACCGTCTCGAGAATCGGGATGAAAGGTTTGGATGCCTTTGGACAAAGTTATAAACCCATTTTTCGCCGACTAAAAGGACCGGGGTAGTTTTCCGGGCTGCGAGAAGGAGGTTCGCAGTTTCTCGTACGGTAGAAGGCCGGGGGGCTGCTCCACGATTATCTAAAGAGAGAATCCAATTTTCAACCGATTTCTCCTCGATTTCGGTCAATTTATGTGAATTTGCGCGTAGAGAAGCCCGTTCCGTACGGCCGGAGAGGCGGTCGCGTAAAGTTGAACGCGGTACATCAAAAGTGCGAGCAGCGAGAGCAGTAGTGCTTATTTCTTGATTCTTAATAGCCTGGATAGCTAATAAGATCCTACCCTCTTGCTCCGTACGATTTCGGGAGGATTGAGTACGAATTGGTGGCATGGTAGGTGGTTAAGAAGGAGGGTCTAATTAATTGACGCGTTTTTGGGTAGGGTGGCGGCTCGCTTACAATGGCGACTCGCTTACCGAATACGTTAGTCTTAGAGGCATCAAGGCATCAAGGCAGAATGCGATGACCAATGCGGTTAGCCGCCTTTGTCATCTGGCCCCGCGCCGCCCGCTGATTGGCTGAGTCAGCAAAACAAAAAAAAATTTGGGTGGATCAGCAATCAAGCGGCGATAGTATTATTCTTCACTCTCCCCTCCTCGTGTTTTTTTTTTTTTTTTTTTCCGTGTTTGGGTCTTCTGGGTGTCTGAGAATCGTCTTGTATAGAACCTGCGATTCCACCTGATCCTCGATTCTCTCTCTGTGTGTGCGCGAGTTGCGCTCTGATCGCCCTTTGTGCCCCAGGAGTTGCCCCTCTCACATCGAGGCCCCCTTCACTTCCGCCTCCTCGATATCGTTGATATCGACGCTCACCCCTTGAGCCTCTCATTCTCTGGACAATGCCACACACGGTGTCCCCTGAGACCGCCATGCCGACAGTTGTCGCAAAGGGCCCCTCCGGCGTGCCCCCCACTACCGAAGAGATTTCGTCCCTCCTCAACACTATCTTCTCCGCCGAGTCCTCCCAGCAGTCCCTCGATGGCGCATATGCGTTGACCAACCTTCTCATTCAGAGCGTGGGATGCGCAGGCCTCCTGAACTACGACATTCTCGCCGAGACGAAGAAGGCTGCTGTTGATAAGAAGAATGGCGCCAAGCGTGAGAGTGCCATGCTTATCATCGGCGCTCTGTTCGAGCGCTTCCCTCGCGAGTTCCCTCTCAGTGAATACGTGTTCCTGATGCACGATGGCGGCATCTTGAACATTGCACTGGATTCCCTGGCCGACAAGGGTGCTGTCGTACGCGATGCGGCCCAGTACGCCATCGACGCTCTCTTCGGGGCTCTCAGCCCCGAGGCTATGGTCAACGCCCTGCTGCCCGCCCTGGAGAGCTACCTGAGCAAGGGCTCTGGTAAGTGGCAGGGCTTCGTTGGCGCTTACTCGCTTCTCGAGAAGATGGCCGTCAAGGCGCAACTTGGCAACGGCACCAAGGAGGAGGAGCGTCAAAAGGACCTGCTGCGCGATGCAATGGGCAAGACCCTGAAGGAGCTCATTCCTATCGTCGAGTCCGGTATGCATGACTTGAAGAGTGAAGTGACCAAGCAGTCCTGCAAGACCATGAACGCTCTCACCACCCTCTTATCCAACGACGATGTCGCCCCCCGTATCCCGCTTCTGATTAAGACCATGGAGCAACCCTCTGCCCAGACACTCCAGAAGGCAATCCACGCCCTCTCCCAGACTACTTTCGTCGCCATTGTCACATCCCCTGTGTTGGCCATGCTCACCCCTCTTCTCGAGCGCTCCCTCAACACTCCCACCACTCCTCAAGAAACTCTGCGCCAGACCGTGGTCGTTGTGGAGAACCTGACAAAGCTGGTTCACGACCCCATGGAGGCTCGTACTTTCCTTCCCAAGCTCCAGCCTGGTGTGAAGTCCGTCAAGGACCGTGCCTCTCTGCCCGAGGTCCGTGAATTGTCGGCCCGCGCTCTCGACGTGATCGAAAAGGCTATGAGTGACAGCAATGTCGCCACTGGTTCTATCATGAAGATCACGCCTGAGGAGGTCCTGACTGTGTTGGACGCCAAGATTCAGGAACACGGCGGCCTTGCTGGCTTTGGCGACGTGAAGCTGCAGGAGGCGGTCAAGTTCTTTGTTGCCGGCATGATCCGTGAGGACATCAACTGCCGCATGTACGACCGTATCCCAGCCTGTACTGCCCCTTACCTCCGTGGTCTCATGTCGGAGGAAAAGGCTACTGCCGTTGCTACTGCTGTGGAGGCCCACTACGTTGCCGAGGACGAGATCAAATACGGCAAGCCCGCTCCCGAAGACCCCAACGAGGTGGAGATTGTCAATGCCGACTTCTCTCTCGCTTACGGAGGTATGCTACTGCTCTCTCATACCAAGCTGCGCCTGCTCAAGGGTCACCGTTACGGTCTCTGCGGTCGCAACGGTGCTGGAAAATCTACCCTGATGCGCAGTATCGCCAACGACAAGCTCGAGGGTTTCCCTCCTCAGGACCAAGTGCGCACTTGCTTTGTCGAGCACAACCAGGGTGAGGATGCGGACCTCAGCATTTTCGAGTATGTGTCCAAGGATCCCAAGATTGCCTCTCAAGGCAAGGAGCACATCGCCGAGGTTCTCCTCGAGTTCGGCTTCACCGATGGCCCTGAGGGTCGCCAGTCCCAGCCTGTGGGCTCCTTGTCCGGTGGATGGAAGATGAAGTTGGCTCTGGCCCGTGCCATGCTCCAGAAGGCCGATGTCCTCCTCCTGGACGAACCGACTAACCACTTGGATGTGGCCAACGTCAAATGGTTGCAGGAGTATCTCAAGAAGCACACCGACATCACCAGTTTGATCGTCAGTCACGACTCCGGCTTCCTGGATGAAGTCTGCACAGACATCTACCACTACGAGGGCAAGAAGCTCGTTTCCTACAAGGGTAACCTTGCCGACTTTGTCAAGGTCAAGCCCGAGGGAAAGAGTTACTACACCCTGTCTGCCTCCAATGTGCAGTTCAAGTTCCCTCCCCCGGTATTCTGTCTGGTATCAAGTCCCAGACCCGTGCCATTCTTCGCATGAGCAACGTTTCTTTCACCTACCCCAATGCCTCCAAGCCATCTCTGCATGATGCCTCGTTGTCACTTACCCTCTCCTCGCGCGTGGCCATCATCGGAGGTAACGGTGCTGGAAAGTCCACCTTCATCAAGATCCTGACTGGTGAGACCATTCCTCAGAGTGGCAAGGTCGAGAAGCACCCCAATTTGCGTATTGGTTACATCAAGCAGCACGCTCTTGAGCACGTGGAGATGCACTTGGAGAAGACCCCCAGCCAGTACCTCCAGTGGCGTTATGCCAACGGCGATGACCGTGAAGTGTTCCTCAAGCAGACACGTATCTTGACTGAAGCCGACAAGGCTCAGCTCGAGAAGCACGTTGACTTGGGTGACGGTCGCGGTCCCCGCCGTATCGAAGCCTTGATTGGTCGCCAGAAATGGAAGAAATCCTTCCAGTATGAGGTGTAAGTTGACCTTTATCGTGCCTTTCCTTTGGTATATCTTTACTAATCTCATCCACAGGAAATGGGTTGGTCTCCTTCCCAAGAACAACACCATGATCTCACGTGAGACCCTGCTGGAGCTCGGCTTCTTCAAGATGGTCCAGGAGTTCGATGATCACGAGGCTTCGCGTGAAGGTCTCGGTTTCCGTGTCCTTGACCCCAAGACCATCTCCAAGCACTTCGAGGATATTGGCATGGACCCCGAGATCGCCAACCACAACGAGATCTCCGGTTTGTCCGGTGGTCAGAAGGTCAAGGTCGTGCTGGCCGGCGCCATGTGGAACAACCCCCATCTGCTGGTCCTGGACGAGCCCACTAACTTCTTGGACCGTGACTCCCTGGGTGGTTTGGCTGTGGCCATCCGTGACTTCAAGGGTGGTGTGGTTATGATTTCTCACAACGAAGAGTTCGTGGGCGCCCTTTGCCCTGAGCAGTTGCACATTGCCGACGGACGTGTCGTCAGCCGTACCAACAACGCCGTCAGCCTAGACCGCTTCGAGGACAGCGCTCCCAACACGCCATCTGCCCCTGGCACCCCTGCCACTGGCTCAGCTACCACCAGCGCTGCCCCATCTGCCGTCAACTCTGGAGATGAAGGCGAACTCAAGTTCCGCGCTAAGAAGAAGAAGAAGATGACCCGTGCCCAGCTCAAGGACCGTGAGGCCCGCCGCCGCCTTCGTCACATCGAATGGGTGAGTTACCTATCCCTGCTGCATTACTATCGAATTGTACTAATATATTCTAGTTGAACTCCCCAAGGGCACCCCCAAGCCCCAGGATACCGACGATGAGGCCTAATCACGCCTCTCAGAGCATTATTTATCGTTATCGCAAGGGGATGGCTGGTTCCAGCCATTTCATTGCATCATGAGCACCATGTTAATGTTTTGGTCTGCATTGGATCTGATAGACGGTGTTTCGGCGTTTATATCTTGTTTCAGTTGATCTACCTGTTTTCTTTCTGGCATAGATTCAGTTGTATAGCCTTCGCCAGTATTGTACATGTGTTCCAGATAGACACTTCAGTGCATGTGCACCTACCATGCGAAAGCAAAAGTTCTGTCAAAACGTTTTTCGATATTTTATTTTCTTGACTTCGTTTCGTGTAAGTCCAGTCTGTAGTAATCTAGATCGTTTTATGTTTACCTCCTTTCCCAATCTCTGGTCTAATGGCCCCCAAGGTTCATACATAGCCTTAAAAGCACATAACTTACTGGGCTTGGCGGGTTGCATAGGTTAGTATGGGGCCTAGTCCCTGTCAATTGCATGTGCATGTGTAATATTTTCAATTGTATTAGTCCCGTAAATCCATATAATTAAGATCTATGAAACAACAAACGCGGTCACTCTTTAAAACTCGACCACCAGCGGTAGATCTCTTGAACTTCGCCCAACCCAAATACGGAACTTGCCCTCAGTGGGAAGCACCCAGTTCTGAGAACGAACACTCCAGTAGCTGAGATCCTTACGAGTCAGCGTCATTTTGACAGTCGTCATTTCCCCGGGCTTCAACCGAATTTTCTCAAAGTTACGTAGTACTCGGTCTGGGAACTCGATCGTTTCACGCAACCAGCCCAGCCCGCGGTGCTCGGCGACATCTTCTGGGAACGAGACGTATACCTGCACCACGTCTTGGCCGGGTCGGGTGCCAGTGTTCGTTACTTCGACGGAGAGTTCGAGCATAGGCTCGTAAAGTGATGGGTTTCCGCCTGGTCCGCCGCCTGCCGGGGATGGTTTTTGGCGTTTATTGTATCCATCTGGGTATGGGTATGGACCGGGATCAGTTCCATCGGTAGTATCAATGTAGGGGTATATGTATTTGCGAAGAACGCGGAAGTCTTGAGGGAACAGACCACTGAAAGGGTGGGGTGGTCTGCTGTCGTATGCAGGTGGCTCGAATTCGTCCTTTAGTCTTTTGGGTGGGTGTTGGGTCTTTTTCTGCAGCTTTTCGATGCTGACGGCAGTGTAGTGAAAGGTTGTGTATGATAGACCGAAGCCAAACTCGAAGCGCGGGGTTATATTGTATCGATCGAAATACCGATAATCGATGTAGAGACCCTGGCTGAGGTTGACTTGTGGGACGACCGGGTCCTGAGTCTCATACAGCACTTGGGCTCCTGGACCATAGTCCTCCAAGCTTCGGCCGATAGTGTAGGGAAGCCGCCCACTGGCATCAACGTCGCCAAAAAGCACATCTATCAAAGCGTTTCCACTCTCCTGGCCTGGTAGATTGGCATAGAGCACGGCGTGTACGCCAGGAAGGTCAATCCAAGACTCCATAACAACGGGGCCAATTGAATGAACAACAACAACGGTTTGGCCTTGGCCACTTCCGCAGTGCTTGGCAACGCCTTCCACGAGTTCAGTGCCATTCTTCTGCAAGAAAAGATCATTGCGATCCGCATCAATGCCATCACTACGGATGAAGCCCTCACCTCCATCTGCATTCACGAAGACCAAGCAGAGATCTTGATCTGCGAGGTCCTGGGATCCAACGTTGTTCGTCAAGTAACCTTGAAGATCAACTGTGTCCTTCGACCATACAGCTTGCAGTGCTTCCCATGGACTCACCAGGTACGGGAATTCCACAGCACCACTGCCCCAACCCGAGGCCAATGTTCCTTGGTTACAACCTCTGTCAGCACAGGCATTTGGGCCTTGTCCGGGGCCTGCGTCTTCGCCATAGACACCAACCCTATATTTTCCACCAGCGCCAGTCATCTTTCGTGAGAGTGGGAGGGTGTCGTTGACGTTTTTGAGAAGAACAGTGCCTTCTGCAGCAATCTGACGAGCCACAAGGGAATGGGCGTCCGCACCGCTTCCTTGTGCGTTGACAAATCTGTTGATCACCCCGGTAGCATCGTTATCCGGCGAGCCTTCATGTAGACGGCCGATTCTCTCTTGAGTCCAGGAGGAAAAGTTTGGACCGCCTTCTCCATCCGGTGGAGGTCGCTCCCAAGAATCTTGTCGGAAATGGTACCAGGCTGCCACGATGCGGGTCACCATGTCGTTCAATCGCTCCATGGGGACAGATGTGTTCAGTGCTGCGCGAGTCAATTCACCTCCCCACATGGGAATACCATCGGCCCAGTGTAGGCCGTCTCCAGGCATGCTCATGTCCAGGCCTGCGATGGCACTATCAACGCCCGAACGCTGGGCTAGCCAGTCCGACTGAACGAAGCCTTGGAATCCCATTTCATCTTTGAGAATTCCATTGAGTAGTTTACTATTCTCGCAGGCATATGTGTTGTTGACCATCTGGTATGAACACATGATGCTAGCAACGTCGGCACGCACGCTCTCAGCGAACGGCCAGGCAAAAACCTCGTGCAGAGTACGGTCATCAATGTTCGATGAGAGGGCAGTCGGAGTGCCCCATTCGAATGCTTGGCGGAAATGCTCCTGCTCGTTCCCAATAAAGTGTTTGGCTGTGGCCATGACTCCGTTTCGCTGGATACCGTGGATCGTTTCCGCTGCGGCCACTCCTTGCAGAACAGGGTCTGACCCAAATGCCTCCCAATTGCGACCCCCCGCAGGCATCATGCCCAGCGGGCCCATGGCAGGACCGAGTATGATGTTCACACCTTTCAGCCGCGCTTCCCTTCCGAGAGCAAACCCACGAGCTCGCATCAATTCGCGGTTCCATGTAGCGCCTGTTGTAATTCCTGCGGGAAATGCGGTAATGTTGTGTGCATATCTGAGCCCGAGCGGGCCATCTTGGAGGCAAAGGGAAGGGAAACCAACGAGCTCAGCGGGTCCTAGAGGAAACCAATCGGTATAAGCGTGTGCCATGGTGATGGGAGGATAGTCAACCAGGCCTTACCTGTATTTCCAACACAAAGACCCATCTGCCAGCCTGTTCCAGTAGTGACGTTCACCTTTTCAGGAAGAGACATCCGTCTGACCAATTCCTGCGCCTTAACATAGCTTTCCTTCCATTCTGCGCTTGTTCCGCCGAGGGGAGTAGGGTACCAGGGAATCGTTTCCTGTACACGTAATTGTTAGACACGTTACAATGGCTGAGAGTGGCGGAGTAAGGAGCACCCACAGTTTCACTGATTGCTGCGCCAGTCGAGGACCATGGCAAGCCTCTTATTGACAGCCATACCACTATTATGGCTATGATGAGAAACGCAGCAATGTTCCACCAGGAATGCAAACGGAACAGCGATCTCCAATTGAAGCTCTTGGCTTCCTCGCGATCATTTTTCAGCAACAAGCCCTTGTCCGATGGGTGGCCCCAGTCATCGTCGCCCAGGGCCAGAGACGTTCTGGCCGAGTCCCCCTCTAAGTCCGTATCAAAGGAGTCCGAAAGTGGTGTGCGATCCGCGCCCAGAAACTGTTCAATTCGTTTTGAGAAATCGCGCTCGCCTTCGGGGACATCAATCGTGGGATTCGGGTCGGTTGACTTGGAGCTCGAGGGATGCGGGTCTTGTGTTGGTTTCCCTTGTTTCAAGGGGAGCAGTTTCAGATTGGCCTCGTTCTCAACCGATTCATCGCCACTAGATGGGGTGTCCATGTCATGTGGTTGTCCCCAGGTACTCTCTGATGTTGATCCCTCGGTGGAATCTTGAGGAGTGTCGCTGCGACGCGTGCTGGCGGCCTTGTTAGAGGGCTTGACTGTTGAGATTGTGGCCTTGGCATGTGGGGAGGCCATTCAGTCGACGTCCATAATTCTGCAGAATCTCCAAGGGAGCATGAAGCTGCGTTGATCCCGACGGGTGCAGGACGTGAAAAGGGACGGTCACCTGACTTCCCGTATCAGATGAGCGTTACAGCCCTGGAGTATAGGAGGTTCAGGGTAAACATATTTATGCTACAGTCAATAGCCTCAAAGTAAACAATATTGTTATAGACATCTATGTTGGAATACGGAGCTTCCTACCCCAGTGGAAAATCACCACACGCATAGCTACCTGGCCACCAGTTATTAGCTGACGGCGTGATAATATTCTAGTTGTATTTTAGTGAATCTTTAGATTATCTTTTATCGCAGTCAGCACATAGTTACATGCTACATGTCCTCATATGACGCCCGGAGCCCATAGTACATGTGCATTGGCCAATGGTGATGGGAACAGACTCACTGCTTAGCCAAACAAACTCGAAAGTACGGAGTACCTGCATTTACCCAGATAGGTAGGTTACATGCAACTTGAGACATTCCGTGGCAAAGCCATTATCTGTGGCTGTGCCCCTGGATCGAGGAAATATCTTTGGTATGAACTCATAGGATGAAGAAATTAAGAAATAAAGACATTAGATTAATTCCCGTCGCGATTATATGAAGTCGAGACCGATTCCTCGTCTTTGGAAGTAAATCGACAGATCAGACGGCACAACTGAACTTACAGTATTTCTATGAAGCCACTGATGTAAAGTACCGGTTTGCCCTGAGACATGGTGGAGACCCTCGTGGAGTTACCTATCAAATTCTGCCTACTTCAGTGGATGTGCAGCGCTATTCCTTTTCTTAGGGAATTCCTGTCCGACCTGTCGATCTTCACTTACCTTTCTGCCTGAAACATGCTGTCTTCATGGTCTTCATTGAGATCGCCATCTATACCGTCTTTTTCCCTCTAGCAGTTGACAAAATAGCCATAGAAGAGAATATTTTAAGTACCAAAAAGGCGAAAGAAAGAACACACCAGATCATTGCTATGTACGAGAATGGCATGTATTTTGTCAGACTACTGTTATGTGTCGATCTGTGGAGATTCTGCAATTGTTGACATATTCTACATTTTGGGACCCTGAATGGACAGAATTGCAAGTGGCTAAGCATCTGGTCCATTGCTATACAATTAGGGTTTCGTTAAAAGTGTACTCTATATTCGGAGTGGCTAAGCTTAGGCACCTCTAATCTATCTGCTTCCCTCCATACCCGACCTCTATGATGTCGATCTTCTATAACTTCGGTGCAGGTTGACCCGCTCACGAAGTTGGTCAAGCACGTCCCTCTGGGTTCCATTTTTATATGAGCTGGTCCCCGTTGAATTGGAAGCATCTCTCTCGCTTTTCACACAGCAATTACTTCCACTCACTCTCTCTTTTCAAAATGAAGATTTCCGCCCTTCTTTCTCTCGTCCCTCTCGTCGCCGCCCTGCCCGGCAAGCAGGCTAAGCAGGCCAAGGGCTCTGATGCCTCCTTCGGCGTTATCTCCGCTCGTTCCGCTTCTCCCATCCACCTTCTGCCTCTCAACGCCGTCGGTAGCTACTTCTACCTCGGCGGTAACGCTCAGTCCTACTGCCCCGAGGGCATTCCCGGCTGCAAGCAGACCAATGAGACTGTGATCACAGGAGGCCACTTCCTGGTATGTCTTCTGGCGTATTGACTTTCCCGAGTGGGCAAGGTATATCATGTTCCCACAGTTACTGACTTGTTCAGGACGTCATGGTTCCCGGTGGCCAGGCTATCTTCGTCGACCCCAAGGGTGCCCTTCGCTTCACCGCTCCGCACTCCGCCTACGAGCCTGCTGGCTCCTCCGACGGTCCCTTTACCTACACCCCTGGTAACTCTTTCGGCCACTGGTCCTACGAAGGCCAGGGTGCCTCCGGCTTCATGGCTTGCCCTACCAACGGCACTACTACCTACCGCCGCTCCCGCCGGGACGCTGCCGCCCCTAAGTGGCAGGTTTACGCTGCTCTGCAGAATGCCACTGTTCCCTCTGGCAGTGTTTCGGACTGCATCGGCTTCGATGCTCTTGCTGTGGCTCACAACTCCACTGTCCCAGCCACCTGGGAGTACATCTAAGTGTTTGAGCCTGGAGCTTGACGCTTGACTGTACAGATACAGCGACCATTGGATTTGGAGAGGAAGATAGAACGGAATGCTTCCAAGTGTTGCTGTTAGGACTGTCTTCTAAGTTGTATAAAGATTGTGATATACATTGATTTTATTGTCCAGCCTTAGTCTTTCGTTACATATAACATGATGTATCAAACAGGTGCACAAAAATGACAAAACTTAAACCATTCTATTCTATTGAAAAAAAGAGCACACAGTCTTATCTGATATAATGTTCAGATGAAGAAAAAGAAATAAATACAAAAAAGAAATTAGATGAATACCAACGAGAGATGGAAGGCGGTGGGCATCCACGAAGCTGACAACATCATTCTGGACGAGGCGTTATGAAAGGTAAATGCCTGTCCTTAATTCTGGGACAGCTACCATTCAGGATCTGCCTTTAGTCTTGTTATTCTTGGGAACCCGAGCCAACCAGTAGATACCAAGTGCAACAACCACATTGAACACCAGGTAGGCCCACATAATCCCAAAGTTTCGCCACGCATCATCCCAGTAAGAGTAGACCTGGGCCAAGAAGGTATTGGTAGAGGACATAGTGCAATACGCGCACGCGCTCATTGCATCAGGATTCTCAATATAACCTCCAGTCCGGAGGGCATATGGGCTCAAGTAATCAGAGCAAGTCTGGTTTGCCGGAGGGTCAAAGATGAGTGTTTCAATCGAACTGCATGTAACTTTTGTGCCACTGACAGCCGTGGAGAGCATGCCGGATACAAGATAGGTGAATGGAGAAAGGCGGTACATAAAGATCCAGAACCCGGGCATGGCTGCAGGTGTGGAGACGACACTAAGAAAAAGAAATGTAAGTAAAATCTAACATGAAGATGGTAGGGGACAAATAACGTACCCGCAGAAAAGTAGAAGAAGAGAAAAGAGCAGATTAGCAATGTTACCTCCTGTTTCCGCATTCTCCACGCCTGCGACGACCATGTGCGAGAACGTAGATGTGAACCACAAGAAAAGGAGCAAGTATAAGAACATCAACGCGCCACGCTCATGTACAGCGTTGGTCAACTCCGCATTTTGGTACAGGCCAACCGGGTAGTACCAACAGAAGAACATCAACACTGCAACAAGGAAGTTCCAGGGTAGCTCAACCAGAATGTTCGACGTCATGAACACCTGCCACGAGTACATCTTGGAGTGGCGCTCGCGGACCTCAAAGATAGATCGTTGGATAATGAAGTTCGGCATGATCTGCTGCACAAGATTTCCAAAGATAGTCATCAGCATAAAGATACTGAACATTTGATTTTGAAGGCCTTGCTGGGTATTTTTCGCATGGAAGAAGGAGAATCCGTTGTAAAGGGCCGTGAGGATCGAGAGAACGAGCTTCGAGTAAATGTACGAAGGGGTGCGCCAATACTGTGAGAAGACTCGAGATAGGCACTCCCGAAGCTGAACGCTCGTCGAAGACGCAAATTCCTGATAACCTGAGTCCGTTTCCGCTTCCTTGGGCTTCTGAGAAAGGGTCGTCTTCAGCTCTCCCAGGTGGTTAATAACAGCCTCCTTTTCGGGACTGCCATTCCAAACCGCTGGCCAGTCAATATCGCTGTGAGAGCCAGGAGCAGCACCAATCACGTCAAGCATCCATTCGGCTGGGTTCTCGCCCTCAGATAGTGCATGGCCACCATTACGGGTGAAATATTCCGCCAAGATCGAGGAATTCTCACCAATTTGTCCAAAATACACAGTGCGTCCCCCTTTAGCAAGGAACATCAGCCTATCAAACCGTTGGAACAGCATTGCAGACGGTTGATGGATAGTACAAAGGATGGCCTGTCCATGCTTTGTGAGAGTTTCAATCAGATCCAGGATTGACCATGAAGTTTGACTGTCCAACCCGGAAGTAGGTTCGTCCAAGAAGAGCAACAGTTGAGGTCGGGCTGCCAGTTCCACGCCAATGGTCAAGCGCTTTCTTTGCTCAACATTCAATCCTGAAAGCCATCAGTAATCAAGATACAGTAAAAATGGCGTACTCCACATAATGATTGGAAATGACATACCTTCACCTGGGACGCCAACTACTGCATCTGCATATGACTGCATACCAAGCAATCCAAGTACTTCTTCAACGTAATCCAACTTTTCTTGGCGACTGAGATGGGCAGGCTGTCTCAACAAGGCACTGAACTGAAGAGCTTCCCGCACCGTGGAGGTAGGCAAATGTACATCTTGCTGTTGGACATAGCCGGTTTTGCGCTGGAATGAATCATCTCTTGGCTGTCCGTCCACTAAAACAGAGCCAGTCACGACACCCATAGTGACGCGAGTTGCAAGAACATCAAGCAACGTAGTCTTTCCCGCACCGGAAACGCCCTTGACGATAGTTAGTAAACCATAGTTCAAGTCTCTGTGGAATATAACACTTACCATCAACGCGGTGGCTGTACCGGGCTTTACCCATCCATTTACATTGTCGAGAATTCGACGCTCTTCAGTCTTGATCTTGATATCGTAACAAAGGTCTTGCCACTGGAAAATGGCAGTTTGACGCTGAATATTGGCACCGGCATTCTCATTTCCTTCATCCGCCCGGTAGGCTGCATCTGGCGTGGTTTCGGAGTCTCCTTGTTGAGGCTTAGGCTGATTGCCCCTACGGAAAATTAGAACCTCACCTTTTGAGGCGGCCTCGGAGATATATTCTGTAGCCACAAGATAAACACCCATGAAGAAAATCATGAAAGCGAAAACAATACCAAGATTGCGCCATAAATGACCATTGGTATAAGCATATGCAGTTTTCAGATAAGCATCTCCGTCAACGGTGGTATCTCCCGCAGTGGATGAAACTGTGGTGCAAATGGTGTTGATGGGATCGACATCCTCATATCCCTGTCCAGAGGGGACGAAAGCAGTACAGGCGAACTTCCTGTTCCGGAATTCATTAACCATCATGCTTTCGAAAGCATAGGCAATTGGGTCGATATAGTTCATCCAGCGAGACCACCCAAGCATATCATTCGTGGGAATGATGAAACCTGTATAAATGACCAAACCCAAGATAAGAAGAGCGGCAGGCACGAGTGCTTGGGCGAGGGACCGCGATGCGGCACCGAACGTGCGAAACACCATCGACATGGTCAATGTTGTCACTATCGAGAAGAGCCAGAAAATGAAAAACGCTCCTGGTTCACGCTTGAGGTTGGATAAGAAGTAAAGGGGGAGATTGAATGTCACCGAATTGGTCAACTTGTACGGAAGATCGCATAGCATTGATGCCACTGCTTCCGTAAAGGGGTGATAGAAGGCATATCGAGATTGCTTCTCCACAATGGGTCTTTGGGCGTAGAGTGTTAGGATCTATAATTTTAGTGTTAGAACTGATGCAATGGTCATTGAGACCTTGGATGGCTTCGTGACATACCTCAAGGGCACTAGCGAAGGCAGCAAGCAGAACCGCATAGAAGAGAAGAACTCCTCGCGAGTAGAAGCTGGATGTATCCGAGGGGAGGTTGTAGAATACACTCCCCAAAATGAGAGAGATAAAGAAGTTACCGAAAAGGGCCGAGTACGTCAAAGTCATATCAGCCCGAAGTCGCTGGAATCCACGCTTCAAGTTAAGGTTGATTTGCTCCATGACGGAGAGCGTGTAGGGAGATTTAGGGCGCCTGAATGCTGAGTGTTAGCAATAAATCCCAGACATACAAAGCAGGGAACATGACTGACTGTTGCTTTGACTGCATCAGGCGGCGTGCTTCACTAAAAGTGGTCAAAGAGTTACCACCGATCGGGTGTTCCTTGTCAAATGCATCAATATCCTGCAGGAGGCGGGCGCATTCTTGGCTACTCTGCCATCGCTGCGCAAACTCGGCAGGTGTGCGAGGCACTTTGCCTTCAAATCCTGATTTAACCCGACGTTCGGTTGGGCTAGTCAAGGAAGTAAGAAAGTCGGCTGTCGTCTGGCGTGAAGGGCAGTCAAAGCCCATGTTGGTAAAGAATTCACGAGCCTCGCCAGTGGGACCGAAGTAGATCTGATGACCCTCGTAGAGCACAACAACCTTGTCAAAGACCTGAAAAAGAAAGACGGCGTTAGTAGATACTCGGAAGTTGGAACATGTTCCTCATATAATCTCACATCATAGGCACTCTGCGAAGCTTGGTAAATCGCAACACAAGCCGTGGTGCCCGCATAATCACTCATCAAACGGAGATTCTTGCAAAATTCCAGCGCATTGGCACTATCCAAGCCTCGAGTACTGTTGTCCCAGCACTGAAGAGGGGCTCCGCTAAGGATGGCCTCTGCAATGCTCACTCGTTTGCGCTCACCTCCACTAACGCCTCGCACGAAGTCATTGCCGACTCGAGTGTTGAATGTATGCCGCAGACCTAACATAGTCATCACCACATCACGAAGGTGTTCAGCGTATTGCGTCCGAGTAAGGCCTTCGAATCGCGTGCGAGGCGCGCGTGCCAGGGCAGCGAAGGTCAAGGTTTCGCCCACGGTGAGTTGGGGGAAATGAACATCGGTTTCGGCACTGAAAATGGCTTCTCCACGGAACTGCTTGTGCATCGTTGGGGCGGAAATACCTGTTGTCCTGTTAGCTTCCTTGCAAATATCGTTCGTTAACGTTACGGCGTACCTTGGTAGTTTATATAGCTCTCATCATTGACATAGATGCCGTTCATCTCGCCGGCAATGGTTTTCAAAAAGGTTGAGCACCCACTGGCTTTGGTTTAGACATTTTATAAGTTGAAAATCGCGTCTCCTTGCGAACTTACCTTCCAGGGCGGCCCAGGACGACCAGCATCTCTCCACTTCGAACAAGACCATTGAAGTTATTGAGGATTTGTACCTTCTGTTTTCCACTGCCAACAAGGTTGCGGACAAGGCCACCAATACTCAAAACAGCATTGAAGACGTCCTTCTGATAATCGGTTGGACTTCCGAAACCATGCACATGCAAGTTCTTGAAAGCAACGCCCGCTGAGCGTTGTAGAAACCGCTCAGGGTCCTGTGACTGTGCTGCAATGAGGGCTCGAATCCAATCTTTAGCTTTGAAGAATGGACTATCAGGATGCCAAGTGGTTTCTTTGTCATCCTCAAAGAAAGGGTTCTTCGTTTGGGACGAAGAGAAACGAGTGGAGTGACGAGTGAGCTGCCTCACCATCTCCTGAACTTCTTCCTCCATTTCGGCTGGCTTTTCGCTGTCCGATCCATCCATCTTGGTTTGAGAAGACGAAGAA